CTTATTTAAACTTAAACTATTTTTTTCTAAAACATTTGTCTTAAGGTTTATTTTTTTTTTAAATGAGGGAGCAATTGTTTATGGTTGAATTTCTTAACAGTCAAAAAATAAATAAAAACCATCAACTTTTTTTTTTTTTTTACATTTTGACATTTTGAAAAAATCTTTGCATAATACTCATAAGCTAGTTAATCATTTCTAATCAATGTTCCTTCTATTCATTAATTAAAAAAGTTAATGATAAAGAAAATAAAGCAATTTCAAAATTAAAAAAATCATCTTTTCAAAAAATTGTTATATAAAATTTACAAAAAAAAATTCTGTAAAATATTTTTAACAAACATAATAATTTTGCCAACAAGCTTGGTTATGATTTATTTTTTGGCTAATGAACTTTAACTCTGATAAAATTAAATTTTTTTCAGCTAATCGTTATTGCAATAATCTAGATCTTCCTATATTTATGAACGGTAATATACTCGATGAGTCATTTACTCTTCATCTTCTAGGATTAACTCTTATTTCCAATCTTTCTTTGAAATTATATATCAAATCGATTTCAAAATTAGCATCTGCTTATGTTGCATTCCTTTATGGTGCTCGCCACTTTCTAACTTCCGATTCTAGTCTTTATCTCTATAAATCTCAAATCTGTCTTTGTATGGAATACTGTTGCCATATCTGGGGAAGATCTTCCAATGATGCCCTTTCTGTTTTAGACAAGGTGCAAAAACGCATTGTAAACATAGTTGAACCTATATCCAATGTTATATTCCAATATTATTGTCGTAGTGTTGCTTCTCTTTCTCTATAACTAATGGGCACTGCTCTGAAGAGCTAGCATCGCTAGTGCCATCAACTAAAGATTATTCTTGCTAGTCATTCTATTAAATTTCATCCTTGTGCTGTGCCTATTTCTAAGTGCTTCAAAAATTCTTATTCATCTAGTTTTTTTCCTCAAACATCAGTACTTTAAAATTTGTTTCATTCATCTTGCTTTCCTAATTCATATAATTTGCAATCTTTTAATTCATCTGTCATTCCATTATCTTGCTCTATAAACTTCATCTTTTCTCTTCCAGTAACTTCCAGATCTAATAGTGGTTGCTTGGAACCTTGTTGGAAGTGAAGATAATAAAAAATTATATATTTTATTGTTTTATTACTTATAGCTATAAACAATTTGTTAAATGGATGTTTGAATAAATTATTATAAAAATAAAATGTTTAGATTATTTTTACAAATTCATAAGATTAATATTTTGTATGTCCACCTGTTGCTTCCAGCACAGCTTGCACATAGCCAAGTATACACATTTGCAAAATCCTGATGTGTTAGCTCAAAAATAAAGTTAAAACTGAATTTAGCAACCTTAATTTACCCTAAAAACAAAAATTTTATTCTAGTAGCAAAAAATTTTGTTGTTTAGTGCTATCAGAGTTTTTTATTTAAATTTTTCTATATCAACTATTTTATTTTTTTACCTCATCATCTTTATTCAATTGTTCATTTAAACTTTGTGTTGTTATATAGGTCTGTTCTACACTAATCTATATTTTTTGAAGCTTTTTTTTCCATTATTAAACCAACATTTTTTTTATTTTTTTATTAATATTATTTATATATTCATTACTTCTTTGCTCTGCATGGTTTCCATAGTTTTAGTAAGGTCGATGCCTTTACAATTAAAATCAGCTATTTCTTTGTTCTTGAATTTATTTATCAATAACTTTCTGACCCAATTGCTGACAAACAAAGTTATCAAAAATACTAAAATTTTATTCACTGTTTAATAAAAACATAATTTTTAATAACCAGCTTTTATGTATGTATAAAAAATAAGGTGACTACTAAATAAAAATTTGAGTTTGGTAAGATTTATGAAAGAAACTGCTACGCACAACCTATACAAACCCACATACTTAAAAGCATTTTCACAAACTAATTATTAGTAAAAGTTTTAAAATTAAAATCATAAATAATAATAATTTTATAAATTATTATTATTTATGATTTTAATTTATAAATTATTTATTTTTTATAAACAATAAAATAATGCAATTATACAAATTATAATAAATTAACTATTATTAAAACTTTTCAATTCTTTTGTATTTTATACTTTTTTATTATTATTATTATTATTACGTTTAAGTTGAATTTATAAGTATATTTTATTATTTTAAAAATAACTTATTTTATAACAACTTTTTCGCCTATATTAAAATAAACTTCTAAAATAAAATATCCATAAATATTGATCAACAATTGACTGAAATTTTTTTTACTTATCAAAGTTATTTTGTTGTTACAGCTCAAAGCTATAAACTAAAGATATAAATTTACATTTTTAGCTTATAGCTACGAATTTCCAAAAAGCATTACAAGATTAAGTTCAAAATCAGAAAAAAAGCCAATGATAACAAAAGCATAAGTCACATGACTAACTTGTCGGATGAAGTAAACAACATTATATTCAGAAAAAAACATTAAAAAAAAATCATTCTGATTCTGATCTCTTTAATTGTGAAGTAATTTTTTAGATTTCAAAAAAAAAAAAAAAAAAAAAAAAAAAAAAAAAAAAAAAAAAAAAGCCTAAATGTTTGAAACCAATATGTATACTATTCCAGGCAATACCTGTTTTATTTTTTTAACACTAATATACTATTAATTTAAAAATTATATTTTTATTGCTATGATGAAACTGTTGGAAACAGATGGTCTGATGTTGTATGTTCTATGCAGCATGATTTTAAATTATCAATGATTTTAAATTATCAATATGTGCTAGGCAAAATACAAAATGAAAAGTTAATTTGATTTTCTTATCTAGTTTGTAAAACTGAAAAACTTGACAGCATTACTGTTTCATTACCAATTAGAATTCTGTCACATTATGTATATGGAACACCTCTAAAAAATGTGACAGAAACATTGGCCATTGCAAATCAAAAGTTTCTTGCAGAAATACTAGACGATCTCACAAAAAACCATAACAATTCAATATTGTATATAAACATGATACAAGAAAAATTTCTGAAATTTGCAGAGTTTGCAAGTCAAACTTCTTGGTTGTTTGTTCATTTAAGACATGTTCACTTAGAGAAATTGAAATATTAAAGGTTATGAAATATTAAAAATTAAAGTTTAATTATATGGAAAAATGGAAATATTTAATTTTATGTGTGTTACATCTCATATGTTAAAATCAATGATCGAAGTGCCTGATAAACTGAAACAAGCATACATAGCTCTGTTGCCTTTTTTTGTTAAAAATTTAAAGACTTACTAAAGCTAAACATTTTCTGAATGGACAAAATAAGACATTATTTGACCTTATTTTAACTTTTTTTTTAAATTTATTTTATTTTACTTTGAAATTAAAAACAAAACAATTTTATTAACGTTGTGTTCACAATTGGTTTTTAGTATGGTTTATACAAACTTGATATAAAGTGATGGAACGCAGACATCATGGAATCATCTGTGGTAAATAGATGAGGTTAGGGAAGAGATAAGGTTGCAATGCTACTTTGTATAAAGTTAAAAAAAAACTTTCATATAATATTTTATTCAAATTATTTTTATTAAAAGAGGGGGAGGGGATGGTTTTTATTATCCCATCACACACTTAGTACATTGTAGTTGTATATTACAATGTGTTACCATCTACCTTTTAAAAAATAAGTGCTCTAAAAGGTTACAAGCTAACGTAATTTATGAGTTTACAACGGAAAAACCACACATATCTAAAATGAGGGTCTTGTTTTTAAAAGAACACTGTGAAAAAATAATACTTGTATTTAGCACAAAAACTGTGTTTTTATATTGTATAAGGACTAAAATGTCAGAAAAATATACTTTTAATTAAATAAGTTATTAATAAACAGATATCTGCTCATTATGTTCATCAATTTTTATTCAAAATAAGAAAAACGTGACATCTGTAGTTTTACCCGTGTGGTCTACAATTGTATTGTTTGAAAAATAAGATTTCATTTATGTGTGTGTGTGTGTGTGTGTGTGTGTGTGTGTGTGTGTGTGTGTGTGTGTGTATGTGTGTATGTGTTAATATATATATATATATATATATATATATATATATATATATATATATATATATATATATATATATATATATATATATATATAAACATATAATTTAAATTGGATGTTTAAATAAGCAGTCTGATGTCATAATGAAATTGCCAGCTACCCGGAGCTTCAGTTTGTATATTGACTGACAAAATAGGTAGAACATGCTTCAGCCCAAACAAAGGGTTTGGGCTGGGGCAGCAATCTTTTCTTTTAATATTCTTTTTTTTTTTTAATTTTTGAATATATATATATATATATATATATATATATATATATATATATATATATACATATATATATATATATATATATACATATATATATATATATATATATATATATATATATATATATATATATATATATATATATATATATATATATATAAATATATATATATATATATATATATATATATATATATATATATATATATATATATATATATATATATAACAAAAAAATATTTATATTCATCCAATATAAAACTGTAAAAATATATATGACTTCACAGTTTTATAGTGTATAAATAGAAAACAAATTTTTGTTTATAAACTAATAAACAAATTTATGTAAAGATTATCTTTTATTTTGTACTAAAATGTATCTAAGATATTTTTATTAACAATATATGAGATGATAAATATAAAAAAATAAATAAGACCCTAATTATTTGTATAATAATTTAATTAAAAACAATAACAAATTAAAAAAAAAACTACATTAAAACGTCTATTAAAAAGAAATAACTTACTTCTTGTAAAAAAAAGTCTATGAGTGAACTACAACTTTTATGGATTCCACTCCTCCCTATTTATTTTCAAATTACTTTTTTTTTTTCATTTCTTTTTTCTAAAAAATAACGATTAAAAGACAAAGCCCTTTTTTAATGAAATATTACCTAATAACAAACTTTTTTTTTGGTATGCGATTTGTATCAATGAAAATTGGCAGGTGTTCTCAAACGATCACTTCTGCATTAAAAATAACTTTCCGTTATTACCCTTTTTTTTTCACTTCATCTTTTACACTTAAAATAATTTAAAAACAAGTTAATTTAACAAAGTTCAACAAGCGTTTAGAGTATCTCGAACTTTAAATAAATACTCCTTATATGTCGAGACTATAGAAACACAATGTAGCGTCTAGATAAGCAAAGCTGATTTTGGAATATCTCCCTTAATAAATCTTAATAAATTTGTAAACAATTTGTTGCGGACATTGATATCTATAAAACGGTCGTTAACAGATGCTTATCTTTAGGAAAGGGTTGGTTTATCGTATCTATACACAAGTTATTTTTATTATCTGACTGACAACAACTTAGTGAATGAGGTTCTAGTTACATAAGCCACCTATTAGTTGAAACGAAGTTTAAAAAAACATTATTTAATAATAAAATAAATACTGAAAAATTAACTTTTTGCATGACTAATCCGAGATAACGAAGTACTCTAAGTGAACGGTATAAGTCCTAGGCCGGAAAAGGAGATAAAAAACAGCGAGCCTTAAGGTTTCCTGCATTTTGAAAGTTTGACTTTTAATAATTTTATAAAATAACAAAAATTAAAAGTTTTACTTTCTGCAACCACAAACCACAAACCTTCCAATTTTTTTCGAATGAAGTGTTCAAAGGACTACTAAAATTTTTTAGGAAACTTTAAAGTAGTCGATTTTTTATTTTCTTTGTTATTAAAAATTTTAAAAATTTTTTAAACAAATTTTGTTACTATTTTATAATTTTTCTATTAATATTAATATATATTAATATTATTAATTATATTAATATTAATATTATTAGTCATATTAATCATATAATATTGATTAACATTATTAATTATATTAATACTATTTTATAATTTTTCTGTTAACTAAATTAAAATCAAAATTACTTTAAAAAAAAAATGGTTTTTAAATTAAATTTGTTTTATTTAAAAAAAACTTCTTTTTAAAAAACATATATGCTTCAATTCATAATTACTTTTCGAAACAATGTTGCAAAGTACCTAGGCAACAATTGCTTAAAAAATATAAAACAAACATAATAGATTTTCTAAATTTACTATTTGAATCGAACGAAAGTGCAGTGACGATTGTTTATGATGTATTCGAATTTTGGAAAGGCAAGGTTGCGTAAGTTGAGCATGTTTTCAGTGTAATTCATTTTGCTTCCATAAGACTACAAAAAGATATATATTTTTTTAAGAATAATGATAATTTAATCTTTCCTCTCAAAGAATATAAATGAATAGTTCATTAAAAAAAAATCTTCATACCAAAAAATGCGTTATCTTCAACATACCCAATCATTTTATCTTAAACCAGTTTCCTAAGATTAGCTTTTTTTTTAATGGAGCTCAAAAAAGCACAAAATAACAAAAAAAAAAATCGCAAAAAAAATCTTCAAGGACTATACTTATCCATAAAAAAAATATCTCAACCATAAAATAACAAAAATAAATCTTTCCTATCTCTAAAAAAGTTAACGATACTATTTTTTGAAAAAACTTTCGCTCTTGAAATACCAAAATAAAGCTCTGCGGAGAATAACTTTAAAAAAAACGCGCATTGCATAATAAAAAGCCGCATCTCATCTTGAGCGTCTAAAACCGTATCATCTTAAGCAACTTCACCATGTACTCTCATAATTAAAATAGCATGACAGCAGCTTATGTATTATCTTATGTAACCCATGGAATTAGCAGTAGATAAGCATAAAATATTATAGATGTCATAAATTTTTGATGATCTTGTTTCGTTCTGACGTAATTACAAAATATTGAATAATAAAAATTATACCGGGGATGGCAATTTTTTTTAACAGTAAAATAATCAAAGAGTATTAACTATACAACCGAGAAATTAAAATAAATTATACCGTCGAACTTGTATGAATATTCTTAACCAAAAAATTTCGCGATAAAATTATTAGTCTTTCCGTAAAAAAGGTTATACCATCTTAGGAACCCGCTCATCTTACGCAACCTTCCCCTATTTACTTTTTATATGGCTTTCCATCATCAGTATACGACATATCCTCAATGACAATCTTAAACTCTCCATCGTAAATTATGTAATTAACTCTTTTCAATGATTATTAGCAGTGGGCGATTTCAAGGGTGTTTTGACACCCTTCCCGCTCCCAAAGAAAGCAATATTTAACATATAGTTTTTTTTTTTTTTAAAGAATATAGTTGACTTGTAGGCATTTGACACATTTTAGTTGGCGGATTTTTAGTTTTAAGGACCTTTTTATTTAGAAAGCAAATGGCAGTTTTAAAAAATTCGCTTTCTTCCCCTTCCCCCTTCCCCTCATTTTATTCCTAGAATCGCCCCTGATTATTAGTCTATGATGAATTGAGTAATTGAATTGATGGCTAAAAGAAAACTTTTGGTCGTCGGTAACTCGACCTAATTCTGGAATTTCGTTAATCGTAGATTATGACATTTTTGATTTTCAACCGACAACTATTGATTGTTATATTTACACCTAATTATAACATGTACTACTAATTTTTCAACCTACTAAATCGTTGACCTACTGTGTTTTTGACCTGCTGAATTTTTAACGTGAATATTCATAAATGAATATTCAACCTACTGTATTTTCGATTTTTTAACTTTCCGATTTTATAACGCCTTTCCGGTATGTATTTGGTATATTTTGAATACGAGCCATTTGACCAGCCTTAACGCAGTAATTAAAGCGCTGACTTTAGAATTTTAAGAGGTTTAAGGTTTGATAAATGCTTGGAAAACTTATTGATTGTTAGTTAAAAAATAAAAAATTCACAGTTTAATTAAAACATCGTTAAAAATACAGACCAGATAATCGGTTGAAAATTAATTTATCTCAAAGCGGCTGAAAATGATAGTCTATAAAACAGGTCGAAAAATGAATCGGTCGAAAACGAAAACGTCATAAATCGGTTAAAAATCAAAAAATTTATAATCGGTTGAAAAAAATTTTGGCCTCAGTAGGTTATCTGAAAATTAGTTTTTAGTAGATGTTCTTTTTATAGAACAACTTAGTAGTTCGAGATTTTTGTAAATCTAACTATCTGACACGGAATTTTTATGGTTACAATTTGAATAATTTTTGAATATTACCAACTGATTTATAATCACAACTAATAACCATAATTTAGTTTCGTGATTTTAAATATTAGGAGGAAATTTCAATTTCAATTCACTTATACTGAGTATAAAAAATGAAATAACGTTATTGTTAAAATAATGTGTTTGGAATGCTGTATTATTGTTATTGAATGTTATTGTTTATTAATGTTATTGTTATACAAAATTGTAATAATTGTTATACAAAGAGTTGACATTAGAATTTAAACAAAGAGTTGACAAATTTGAAATTTCTGCGTTTCTCTAGTTATTCAAGACTTCACCGCAACGCTGTTCTTCACTGCAATGTTAATCTTCACTGCAACGTTATTTGTTTTTTGGTAATAATTATAAAATAGCAAATGAAACATTATTTATTTGAAATACATAATCTATAAAATATTCTCAAGATATTCACACGTTTTTGGGTAAGTTTACAGGTGTCTTTCTACTAACATAAAAGGATTATCACAAAATAAATGGGGACGGTTGTCACGTTTGCCTTGACATTTACCCATCAAATCTGATATTTTTACTGATGCTGATTATTTTTCCTAATTATGTATCTGATTGCAGAAATCCATCTTTTTTATATGCTGATTCAAATAAAAATGTCTACCAACCATATTCAGTTCAACTAGAACCACCAAATAAAAGATTTAAAGAATACCGGTATTCAGAACCGGCTAATCAACTAGACAGAAAAATAAAAGATCCACTTGTATCAAATAAATCTCTGACCGTAATCAAATTGCTCCATTAGTTTTTAAAAACTCAATCATACCACCAGAAAGTATTAGGCATCTTCCTAAAGCAGGTCAAAGGATTCTAACTTACTCACCTGTCAAAACATGGTTTCAAAGCATGGTTTCAAAGCATGGTTTACTCATGATAAAAATAAGCAAAAGAGTAAGACTACAGATCCTAAATTACATGTATATAGGAATAAAAAAAAAATTCTTGTCAAATTATTATAGTAAAATTCAGGTGTACTCAAATTTGCATTAACTGGTTTATCCAAATATACCAAGAAATGTGACAACTAACCCCGTAATTGTGGTTGGTTATCTTTGAAAAATGATATTGTAACAAAATATATTTAATTCAATGTCATGAAATTGATGTAATAGTTTTCGGAAATACTTAAACTACTTTAGCGCAAAGCTGTGTAAAACCTAAAAAATTGTGTAAACCGTGATACGTACAACCTAAGAGTTTTTTCACATTCTATTCTAAAAAACTCTCAAGTTATTTATTCTTTAATGTATAACATTGTGCCAACAAATTTGATTGAAAAAAAAATTGCAATATACTTAAAATATAGTTGCAATATACTTGCAATTACAATTGCAATATATTTGAAAATATAGTTGCAAATAAAAAAAATTATAACAGCTTTATGAAATTGTTGTAGTTTTTTAATTAATCAGGGGGACTATAAAAATTACAATTTTGTTCTAAAAAACAAATTATGATTTTTAAAATCTTAAAAAATGTAAATTAGCCATATTATAGATTTTAAATCTTATAAATTGGAAAAATTCATTATCAGATTCATTATCATGTACTAATTTTTCACAGTGCATTTGGCAATTATTCTACCATTATTACTTAAAAAACACAAAAATAAAACCAATAAAAAGAAACTGAGCGACAAGATCTTTAGTTTTCAGGTCAATTCAACAAATGATTTTACTAATCACCAATGTTTTGGTACCAGTGATTAGTAAAATCACTTTGTCAAAATCATTTTACTTATCTTTGGTACCAATGTTTGGTACCAATTTAAAATCTTATAAACATAGACAAAGTTTTATCAAAAAGCGTTCGCAAGTTATATTGCATGAAATGTTCAATCTCCTCAAAAGTGAATTTATATGAATATAAATTCTTAAAATATTAATACTATTTTTCAATTAAATTTTAAATCCGTGAATAAA